TACACGTTTTATAAAAGTCAACGTTTTTTTCAACGAATTTTTGACCGTTTTTTTCATTCATGTTACCGAATAAAACGCGAACGTATTAAACCTCGTTTAATTCCCGTACCGTATTTAACTAACTAGGAATACATCACCAAGAAAATAGGGAGGAACAGATAACCAAACGTGACACCCAGATATATAACCTGCTGCCCGTGCTATACTGCCATGGCATGAGCTACACGGTTCGCTGAACGTCTAACATGAGAAAACGACACTTTATCGAAACTCGTCTTTAATTCTCTAATATCTTACGCTAACAAACCTGAATAGGATAAAGTGATAAACTAGTGCCACCTTGTATTTCATTAATGGCTAGAAGAGATTCAGATTCCACTTCAAGCTGATTCCACTCCTGATCTTTAAGCCAACTAAGGGCTTCTCGGATACTCAATAGTTCTGCTTCAAGAGGAGGGAAATTACTGGTGCTCAACTTGCCTCCTCCTGCCAAAAAAATGCCACCAGAGTGGCATAGTCCCTCAAAATCCAACCGAAACCTCAGGTCCCTTTCCCAAGCGAGGGATTTGTATTCAGTTTCTAGCTACCTGCTCCAGGACGTTTCCACAAAGAAAGGCTCTCCTGCACATTATCACCTGACACCATCCCTGGTTGCTGCACCTTCGCCCATTCGTCAACAAACGCACCAACTTTTCGCATTATTTGGGAATCTTCAAGCTGAGCTCCATTCCAGAGTCGTTGATTCCGTTCGCCCCACAGTCCCCAACAGCCCACCACCATCCAGGTAAGATCTTCTCTCTTCAATTTCTGAAAATTCAATTGTAGCCAAGTTAAAAAATCTGGTGATGTATTGTCTACATAACGCCATTTCACCGTATCCCACACCTTTTTAGCTACTGAACAAGTAACAAAAAGATGCATAAGAGACTCGTCTCCCTCTTCTCCACAAAGCCCACACGCTACCCTGCAATTCACTCCCCTCTCTCTCGGATTATGCATGGTTGGTAGACAATTGCAGCAAGCCTGCCAGAAGAAGAGCTTAATTTTGGGAGGAAGCTGAAACTGCCATATGGCTGTCCACCCCAGCCACTCCTCTAACTGGAACTCTCCCACCACCTGCCTATAACAACTTTTGACAGAGAAATGTCCGTCCTGTTCCCCAGACCAAATCATTTTATCCTGAAGTATTTAGAAGCCCTGCTACTGTCGCCTCCTCCAACCCCGGAACACACTCAGTCGAAATTTTGGGATCATCTCGATCTGGAAACCAAGAGTCTCTCCATATGTTTATACAATTCCCGTCTCCTACCCGGCATTTAACTCTTTTTCCAATAATGTTTTGAACCTCAAACAGGCTTCTCCAAATAAAAGATGGATTTCCTCCCAGTTTTGCTGAGCCTCCAGATAATATCTGGCCCGAAAAACTCTTCCTACCAAAGTGTCTGGTTCAGTCAGTAACTTCCAAGCATGTTTGGCAAGCATGGCAAGGATAAAGTCTCTGATTTTCCTGAACCCCACCCCCCATGTTTCTTTGGTTTACACAGAAAATCCCATTTTCGCCATCTGATTCCTTTTTCAGACCTACCATTCCACGAGTACCCGTTCATAATGACTTCTAATTCCCGGTAAAGGTCCAGAGGTAGTAAGAAAACATTCATAGCATTAATAGCACCTCTCTCCCAGCCCTAGACAAGAATTTAATGTTCAAATTTTGAATTCTATTAATCACTCGATGTTTGATATAGCTAAGAATATGTTTCTTCCCCTTTCCAAACAAAGCTGGAAGGCCCAAGTATTTCTCTGCCTCCCCTGCCAGCCCAACACCCATAACCTCAATTAACCCCTCCTTTGTATTATTAGCCACATTAGGACTAAAAAAGAATTTTGATTTATTGTAATTTATTATTTGACCCGAAGCAGCCTCATAAGCATGGAGTGTTTCTCTAATGGCAGAGACATCACCATCAGTGGTCTGGAAAAATAAAAGGTTGTCATCTGAGAATAAAAGATGAGAGATCTGTGGCGCCCTTCTTGCCACCGCTATTATGTGAATGCGACCACTCGTTTCTTGTCTACGAATGAGTGCACTCAGCCCCCCTGCCACCAAAATAAATAAATACGGAGACAATGGATCCCCTTGACGCAGACCCCTAGATGGAAAAATCGGTCCCAACTCCCTATCATCAAAGGGTATTGAATCTGAAACAGATGAAACACACTCCATAATTAGATGCACCCATTTATCACCAAAACCCAATTGTTTCATCATGCCTTCCAAGAAATCCCATTCAACCCTGTCGTAAGTCTTGCTCATATCCAGCTTCAGAGCAGCAAAGCCCATTTTACCTTGTCTCTTCCTTTTCAGATGGTGTTGAGTTTCAAAAGCCAGCATGACATTGTCTACAATAGAACGCCCAAGAATAAATGCGCTCTGAGATTCTGAGACACAATTATTCAGTAAACCTTTCATTCTGTTAACCAATACTTTTGCAAAAATCTTGCAAATCACGTTACAGAGAGCAATAGGCCTCCAATCACCCAATACCTCCGACTTATCCTTCTTTGGGATTAGGACAATATGAGTATGATTAACCTTTTCTGGCAGCGTACCTGACTCAAAGGAAGCTCTACAATAATCCACCACATCTGGACCTATCACAGCCCAAAAGTGTTTGAAGAAACCAAGGCTCATACCGTCCGGACCGGGTGACTTGTCTGGATACATTGAAAAAACTGCCCTCTTGACCTCTTCTGCCCGAATTGCCCTTAATAACTCCAGATTGTGGTAATCCTCTAATGTTGGCGATACACACCTAAGGACCTGCTCCATATCTCCCTGCACAGAGGAAAAAATATTAATAAAATACTCTTCCACCATCCTTCCAAGTTCCTCCCGATTCCGCTCCCATCTTCCTCCCTCCATCTTGAAGCCCTCTACTCTGTTCCTCCTTTGTTTAACGACATTATGAAAAAATCGGGTGTTAAGGTCACCTCCTCTGTAGCAGAACTCCGTCGCCCTTTGCCTCCAAAACTGGTTTTCTTTTTCTAATAAGCCCGAGTATTCCGCTTTGACCCTGCTGAATTCACCTACACTCCAACCATCAGATCTTTGGCGCAGATAGTTCATCCGTTTTCTACCGTAACCAATGTGTTTGTTGTAGTCCCCACAACAGTCTTTGTCCCAAAAGCCCACCTCCCTGCTGCAATCCTCAATCTGGCCCACTACACCCCTTCCTCGCCCCATGAACCAACCCCTCACCACTACCTCTCGGCATTCTTCTTCTCTTAGCCACACATTTTCAAATTTAAACTTCCTCCTTCTTTGAACTCCTCTAACAGGTTGTAATCTAATTATTAGGGCCATATGATCGTTGGGGGAACCATCCAAAGCTTCCGCCGATGCACTTCCATATTTGTCCAACCAACTTTCAGAGGTCAGGATTCTATCTAGTTTCTCTTCTACCCAATTCGGAGTTCCTCGCCAACGTTCCCAGGTGTATTGGTAGCCTTCGAAATGGAAATTGCTTAAACCACTGGCCCAGACTGCCTCCTTGAATCCCCGAAGCAACCAGGGTGGATGGGGAATCCTACCTCTTTTTTCTTCTGCAGACATCAAGTCGTAAAAGTCTCCAATAACGAGCCAAAGTAAGTCTGACCTCAAACTTAAGGATTTCAGTAGATCCCAAGATTCTCCCCTTCTGGAACGCTCTGGAAAACCATAAAACCTAGTGAAGCGCCACGGAGGGTCACCTGCCTCTAGCTGCACTGAAACATCGATGTAGTTTTGTGTTGCTTGCCGAATCTGAATAACCACTCCGTCTCCCCATAAGAGACCTAGGCCTCCCCGGTGACCGACTCAATCCACGACAAAACTTGATGACAGCCCCTCCTTCCTTTTCACTTCCTCCACTTTAATAGTACTGGAAAACGTCTCCATTAAGAACACAATACTCAGCCTCTTTGAGTGGACATAGTCCACCAGAACTTGAACTGCCAACGGGTTGCCAAGCCCCCGACAGTTCCAACTTAGGCACGTCATAATGTCAGGCGGGCCTGGAAACTAGATCCCGCCCTTAATACGTTTTTTGGCTGACTGTTATTCCTATCTTCCTCCATTGAAACTCCCTGGTTCTCGTCATCCCCAACAATTTTGCGTTTTTTTTGTGATCCCTCCTGTGCCCAACTCATTCCCTAGCTGCCATATTATCAAACTTCTAGCCTGCCCCTCCGAGGTTGTTTATATGTACTCCCATGTTAAATATCTTCATTCTTCACAGTAAAAGAAAATGCGAATAGTTTCATTTTACCATCTCTGAACTATTTGTTTTTTATTCACATCATCTTTTTATTCACACTAGGCCCAGTGGTGTGTGGACCAATAATAGAGAAAGGTTAGATAGGTTGTTTTAAAATTGACTATCTCGGGTATGATTAGTTGTGCTTTGGTATGGTACCGGACTACCGGTCCTGGTCCGGGCCCAAACAATACTGGTCCCAGGTCATCCCCGGGTTCGGCCCTTTCTCTAATTCCAAAAAGTTTTTTTTTTTTTTTTGAAAAAGTAGCGGTTATGCCCGGACCGGGCCTGACAGGTCCCAAAAAACAAGTCCGAAGCCTGACCCGTTCTACCCAAGGTTCGGGTCAGTACCGGTAACGGAAAACCAGGCCCGGGCCAATACCAACAGTTCTGGTCCCGGGTTGGCCTGCCTGGGCCCAGACCACCCCTAATTGCATCCCAGAAAATACTAGGATAAAGAAAGGTAAATATGCCAAGGACAATGAAATGCTATGAATGATCGATCTAAAAGGTTTTACATTTGAACCATATAGTTTTGTTTCATTCCAAATTTCCTCCCTACTTTCTTTCATAAGCATTTTCCGGATTACAAACATTGCATTGTTACCTGCTTTTTTTGTAACCAAACTTTCTCAATTTCAATTTGTTATAGGAATCTGCTATTTTATCTGTTTTAAAAAAATCATGGACACATAACAATGGCTTATACTGCCAGTCTTCTGAAGCATAACAATAGTCGAGTATAAACTCAGCAACTCACAATTGAACTAAAAATGTTCTCTTGTAAACAAAGAAGATAAACATCTTTCTGTGAATGAGCTAATCAAAGACAGAAAAAAAAGATTGTTTTCCTTTCTGCTAAAATAATAAAGAATAGTGACACTTGCAGGGAATGGTTAGGAGTAGACCTGGACTCGGGCCGGTTCGGGCCCGGTTCGGGCCTGGGCCCGGCCGGGCCTCGGGCCAGGATAGTTGGGCCCGGGCCCGAACCGCCGGTGGGCGGTTCCGGTTCCGGGCCAAACCGGGCCGGGCCGGGCCTACCCGGAAATATTTTTTTTTTTTTGGCTCTTCTATTTAACCCCCAACCCCTCCCCCTCAACCCCAAACTACCCCAAACCACCTCAAATGGCCCAAAATACCTAATCCAACCCAAAACTTAAAAAAAATTCAAAAAAAAAAAAAAATTAAACATCGAACCGAACTGGGCCCGAACCGGCCGGTTCGCCAAAACCTCGGCCCGAGCCCGAACCGCCCAGCAGCCGGGCCGGGCCGAACCGGTGGGCCCACCGGGCTCCGGGCCGGGCCTCACAGTAACCGGGCCGGTTCCGGGCCGGGCCGCCCGGCCCGAGTCCAGGTCTAGTTAGGAGAAGTGTGCATCATAATGGAGATTGTATTCCAATGCTCAATGATTGGAAACTTGACTATAGAAAAGCATGAGTAATTCCACCTCATTACTCGGACCATTCCCTGCATTGATCATTACTATACACGAAGTAATATATATATATATATATATATATATATATATATATATATATATATAGGGAACTCTTCCGGTAAGGTATACCTTACCGGAGCCTCCGTGCGGCCTCCGCGTTTTGAGAGCCTTCCCGGTGGAATTTTTCGATGAAATTTTTTGAGCATGTTCTTCATCAAGTCTAGTACATCCATACCAAATTTCAGAAAAAAAATTCAATCGGGAAGGCAGTCAAATGATTTTTGGAAGATAACTGCACTTTTTATATACATATAAAACGCAGTTATCTTCCAAAAATCATTTGGCTGCCTTCCCGATTGAATTTTTTGCTGAAATTTGGTGTGGATATACTAGACTTGATGAAGAACATGCTCAAAAAATTTCATTGAAAAATTCCACCGGGAAGGTCCTCAAAACGTGGAGGCCGCACGGCGGCTCCGGTAAGGTATACCTTACCGGAAAGATTCCTATATATATATACATAGATCAATTTGACCCATAATGCAGTCAAACATATAGTCAATCAAAACCAAGTCTGTTATTTGTCGATGTATATTCTATACATAGATATGCCACCTCCAGCTGCTGCTTGATCAAGGAAGAAAAGGATTGTGAGAAGGATGAGCCTGTTTTTCCTTTCTGTAAGCCCTGATTGATGTAAGAAGACAATAGATTCGAATCAGTGACACATAATAGTTTCATCCTACAAACACCGGCAGATTTAACATCTAGGTAGTGGATGTCCAAAAGTTACAATAAAAGTTTTCCCGAAAAAACCACTGTAAGAAATAGAGCAAAAAGCAAGAAATATTATATAAATAAATTAAAATAAATTATTACACTAATTCTACATATGTATCTTTCCTTTTTTTTCTAGAATTTTTGGGTGTTCAAATGGACACCCTTGCACTAGAGTGGCTCTGCCACTGCCTCCAACCCTAATATTACTATTACTATTAAGGGATCTGTATACAAATAATGCCCACAATCATTCACCTTGCCACACTTGATCCTGCCAGTGAAAATGTACCTAAGATGACCAAGAGGAATGGAAGCCCAACCAGTAGCTGCTTCCCCCTCCTACCGTGCGTTCTTGGAACTCCAGTCCGCACAACATATGAGTGTGATGTGTCCGCACATGAGGAGTTTTGTGCTCTTGCACCTGTAAATTTTAGTAGTGTACATTAGGGGCCTCTGTTTGGTTCAGGGTTTTGGAACGGGAGGGAAATAAACGAGTGATTTTTATTTCATTAACTCATCTTTATTTATTAGTTGTAAACAAGAAATAACCGTAAGAATGGTTAGATTGTTTGAATTGGTATAATATTTTATCTCCGCTTTATTTCGAACCAGTTTAACGTAGAAATTAATGTGAAAATAAAGACACCCCTCCCCACCTTGACCTCCGAAATCCTTGAACCAAACAAGCCCAAAAAGCATTGGTAAGTTGGCAACATTTTATTTCATTAAATATGGTGAGTACATTAGACATTAGTACATAGTGAGTCATGACAACAATTGTAGAGGGAGGTCACATTGTGCAGAACATTGATACAAATATCCACCACCCCATTGCTGATAAATAAAAGTAGAACCTCACATGCAATGGAAAGTTGGAAACACATTCATAACTTTGACTATGAATCCTTTATAATTTAAACAAAATCCTTTAAGAATATGAACCAATTATAAATTAAACAAAATCCATTATAAATATGAACCCCTTATAATTTTAAACTTTTAACATGAATCCTTTATAATTAAACAAAACCTTACAGTTGCACTTATTTTGAAATTAATGATCTTAGTGGAAAACACATTAATGATCTTAGTGATCAATAAAAGTAGAACCTCACATGCAATGATGCAATGGAAAGATGGAAACACATTCATAACTTTGACTATGAATCCTTTATAATTTAAACAAAATCCTTTAATAATATGAACCATTTATAATTTAAACGAAATCCTTTATAAATATGAACCCCTTATAATTTTAAACTTTTAACATGAATCCTTTATAATTAAACAAAACCTTACAGTTGCACTTATTTTGAAATTAATGATCTTAGTGGGGGTAGTGGCCTAGGGGGCATTGCCCCTGCACCATTTAAAGGCCATAAAATCAACAATTGATTACTTGATGAATCATTGGGAAGGGAATGATAAATTATGGCAGCAAAATATATGAGATGTGAAAGTGTAGAAGAGAGAAATACCAGAGCGTAGGCAACTGTATGCTTCTGAGATCTGCACCAATGCACTCATTTCATAAGAACTATAAAATCCAAAGCAGGAAAAGGATAATAAATAAGCATAACCATACTTGGGCAAGTGGACAAAAGACTAATAGCAGATTATGCTCACCATCTTGAACTTATACTCTGCACGTGATTTTTCCTGAGCAGGAAAGCGATCGGGGTGAGTTTCCCATACCTTTGTTCTATAAGCAGTTTTAACCTGACCATACATTTGTCGCAAGAAGTAAATAAGAAACATCATCTCTACATTCCTGACCCCTCTAATTTTTGTTTGTGTGTGTAAACCGCAAAACAGATCACAGATTTACATTATAGCGCTTTCAGCTTGTATATTAGAGAACAAGAGCAGGAGATTAAATCTTTAGTCAATTGTGGAAAATTATCCATAATTCTCCACAAAATGCTAGGGGAGGTGAAGAAAATGCCAAGGAAAGTTATTTTACTATGTATGCTTTTAGCACGGAATGCAGGGGAAAATGAAAGATGATTAATGTTTAAAACTCTTTTCCAACTGTTAAGATTTTCTAGCATTTACTACGTATATTAGATTATTAGTAATAGAAATAAACTTGAAAAAAATGCATGACAGAATTCTTTTATAATCTGCCCTCTGTTTCTTTCCTTTGCACTTTCATCTTTCAAACGGACCCTTAAGTTGAGTAGTAAGTCAGCTATGATTAACTCAATTCTCAATTCAAGAAAAAATTGAACAGATTTCTGAAAACATATCAGGAAGTGCAAACGTAACTCCTAGATACGGGATCAAATTACAAATAGAAAGATATGACAGGCATGATGCGACTAACGTTCGTCTAATGAATGGATAAAGCTGCAGAAACAGAGAAATTCGTTGAGCTACCTGAGATGGAGAGGGGCGACAATCTGGGGAAAACCCTAGCAAGGCTTTTGCCTCATCGGCCAGCATCTCCGGACTGTCAAAGGCTCAACGCACAAGCATCCGGAAACGAACCCCAGATTAGATCGGAACGAAAAATGCATTACCTTCCGATTTCACTTGTTCAATTATTCAACTCTGATGCGTCTTTGAGATGCATCAATGCATCATGCATATGTGGTCCAATTGAATACACATAAATGCATTAAGCCATTTATAACTTTTTTATTGGATGATTTTTTTTTTTAAATTTTACTCCCCGTATATGATTTGATCTGAGTTGGTTTAATATAGGGGTGAGTTCGGTTCTTGCGGTTCGGTTTTGACCTAAAACCAAATATAGAATCAAAGTAAAAAGTTCGGTTCGGTTTTACACTCCAAAACTTGGAACCGCGGTTTGATTAATTCGGTTTCGGTTTTTTTCGGTTTTTTACCAAAAAATTCTCGCTTGATTTAAAATTGATATAATACTTAGAGGGATCAAACATATTATATAAAGAATGCAAGCACAATACAACAACAAATAAAAAAATGAGAAGAGATAAATATATCTTGAATTATATGAGTATGCGAGATAGGGGAGAGTTCTAGTGAGAACTCATCTTAAAATGAGAACTTGTTATCATGAGAACTTTTAATCATAACCTTTTATTTAATTCAATCATTGGTAGGATGCACATGTGGTACTTTGCGTAATTATTGAAAAATCATATGAGGTCTTTTATGTAACTATTGTATAGTTATTACAAAAATGTCACCTTATTAATTCTAACCCTTGATTCCATAAATCAAGGGTGTTGATTAGAAGTTCTCATTTATAAATGGGTTCTCATTTTAAAGGGGTTCTCACTAGAACCCTCCCCATGCGGGATAAATACTATATATATTATTGATTTAATTTGTTTGTGAGTAGTTCGAAAAAAGTTCATGAATATATACGTTCTACGTAGTATGTGATATAGTTGAGATGAATATTTATTATTTTATCAATATAAAATCTTTAAGTTATCTAAAAATAAAAGTTAATTACTACTAATAACTAGTAAACAAATATTATCATCATTCAATATAGCTACATTATTACAGACAATGAATGTGTAAATGAATTTATAAACCAAATTAAATTAAACATAACACAAACATTATTTCTCTAACACAAGAAAATCAAAGACTATTGATGTAATTAAGATTAATACTTAACAATTAACATATAAATTTCAGATTTTAAATAGTTCGGTTTGTTCGGTTCGGTTCGGTTTTGAAGGGTAAAAACCAAAACCGAACCAAACAACTTCGGTTCGGTTTTTACATTCGGTTTCGGTTTCTTAGCGGTTCGGTTTTATTTGGCTGCGGTTCAGTTTAATTTGATTCGATTTTCGATTTTCGGTTATTCGGACCCAACCCTAGTTTAATATGGTGTGATAAATAAATGTCTTATATATACGTAGTATTTTGCTATTATTTGACTTGATATGATTTGATTTGAATGTGTCTTGTTTTGTATATGTCTATAAGTCTGTTTATGTGTATTTTATTATTGTCCAATCTGATTTGGTTTGTTAAAATCTTGTTTGGACTGCTTAGCCCATGTCACCACATCTGTCCCTTTTAATTTTCTTTCAGCCAACACGCCTCCAGTGCAGGTGCACCGTCGCCTGCATATACAATGTTGTGTCTGTCGTTGCAACTCCACATGTTATCTTCTTCTCCTTTCTTCTTGTTAGCAATCCACCACCACCACCTTGCTTTGTATTCACAGTGATCATCACTGCTCATGAGAACATCCCTTAAATACATAGTCATCTTTGATTGAGCGCCACCACCAAGGAGCTGATGTTGTCATTGTTCGGAGGTTATCGCCATTGTTGGATCTATTGTCATGGGCGTTGGAGGAACTGCCTGACTACTAAAGTTTAAGATTAAGATTGGTAGCAACTAGGTTACAAGCCGCAACGACAACTAGGATTCCACAACTATTTTTGATGTTTTGGAGTTGTTTGCGACATTATTGTTGGAAGAAGTTTGTTCGCTGAAGGCCTGAATTGATGTCGTTTGCGCTGGCGACGACGACGACAGTGTCAACACCGGGGAAGTGGTGTACTTATGAGGTTGTGATTGGCATGCATCAAGTCAATGGCGCACTGAGTCACTAGTCTACTAGTGTCACTAGTGGCGGTGAGTCACTATAGACAACATGAGGATCACCACTGACATCAATGTAAATGTAGTTGATAAATGGGTTGTTATTGAGCGGTTAATGTCACTGGACCGATGATAATTGAAATTTTAGTATTAATAATAAATATTAGTTTAAGGGTATGCATGTCCTATTAACCACTTTTTTAGAAATCGTTAAATTTAGTCTTACAAACATGTCCTACTCGAGAAAGCGGTCCAGCTCAGTTGGTCGCCGACTCACTCTCCCTTACGGGAGGTCTCGGGTTCGAAACTCAATGGAGTGAGTTTCATCCCTAACTACTCCAGGCCCCCAGACGCCCGCCGGAGTAAAAAAAAAACATGTCCTGCAGGGTAATAACACTCCTTTAACACATATCTATGTTCCATTTCTTTATTACGAGGACAATAATATCCCAAAAATGTACAGAAATGGAACACAGGTTACTCCATTATCTTGCAGTAGTGGATGCTAGAATGTCACAAAAACGGACTTCTTAAGTTCTTTTAACGTATTTGTTAAACAAAGAAACGATGTAGTGAATAGTAGTTCTAAAAGAGAGGAAAGACAAGGGTGTTATTTGCATTAGCGAATAGCAGATTCAATTAGGAGAGAATGTATAGACTATAGAGGTTCCAACTTCCAATTTCCAAACGCCTGATTTGATTAGTTGATTGAGGTGGCGAGTTACAAAAGTGTTTCATAAATTAGTTTTTTTACTTTTTTGAACGAGCATTTAAAATTAACATTTAATAATTTATAATAACACATTAAAGACGTGAAAGTGTAGAAGTACTTTCAGGTGCTCCAAATTGCTCCCAGAACCAATTTTTTAGAAGTTGGGAGAGATTTCGGTTCGAAAAACTGATTCTAATTCTACTTCTAATTTTAAAAAACAAACAAAACAAAATCAATTCCAAATACCCTACCCTAAAGTTCTTAACCTAAACGCCATTACTTTTAGGCTCTTAGCATTTTCAAGTCAACATTATGGACAACAAATATACACAAAATATGCATTTCTATCAATTGAAAAATGCCAAAAAAATGGAAATTCTGAATAAGAATTGTTGATTAATTACTATATATTTCCAAAAAAATTATGCATTCTTAGCACGATTTTGTGAAATGAAAGATCATAAACACTCAGTGCAACATACGTAAGACCAAAAATATGTTCAACATTTGCTAAGATCTAAAAAGTCGGGCATCCATGCAAATGGATGCACACCAAGCCACACACCCTACATTGTTTCACGTTGCTGCGTTTACCAAGCATAGCCTCTGATCATTTTCTGTTTTCATGTATAAAATCCCCCATGATCATCACATCTCATATCCACACGGCCATCTTTCTTCTCCCTTCTTCGATGCTGTACTGTAACAATAAAAGAAGAAAATAACGTAGCTTAAGGAGAAAGATGGCAGCTGCGAATAAAATAGTGCTTCCCTTAGTGTCCCTCGTCTTAGTGGTGGGCATTGTGTGCGGGGCAGTGTTCGTGTTCCGCAAGAGCGGTGACGGATCATCCCAGGAAGACCATGGCGGCATTTCCACAGGCTCTATGAAGTCTGTCACCACCTTCTGCCAGTACGCCGAATTCAAAGACGCATGCGCCAAGAGCCTCTCCCCTGTTGCCAACAACCAATCGGCCACCACGAAGGACTTCATCCTCGCAATCCTTAAAGCCACCATCGATGAGGCCTCCAAGTCCCACCAGGTCGCACTCAACACGAAGGTCGACCAGGCTGCGGACCCTTACGACCACGTGGCCGTGGAGGACTGCAAAGACATGCTCCAGGATGCCATTGCAGATCTCCAGGCATCTTTCTCAGCAGTCGGTGATAGCGAGCTCCACACCCTCAATGACCGTGTTGATGAGCTGCTCAACTGGTTGTCTGCGGTTTACGCCTACCAGACAACCTGCATGGAGCAGCTGGAGAAGCCAGAGTACAAATCGGCCATCGAGGAAGGGATGGTGAACGCCACCCAACTCACTAATAACGCTATCAACATCATTGCTGAGATGTCTAAGGTGATGGAGGCGTTCAACATCACAGGTGCCGCGACCGACTTACTCACCACCTCTGCTGCCTCCCGCCGCCTTCTGGAAGGTGAGGAACATGGTGATTATCCTGCATGGTTCCCTTCAGCATACAGGAAGCTTTTGGCGGCACAAAAAGCAGGACAGGTGACACCTCACGCTGTGGTGGCCAAGGACGGAAGCGGCAAGTATAAGACTGTTTCGGCCGCTTTAAGCGCATACCCACCAAAACATCAAGGCAAATACATCATATATGTCAAAGCTGGAGTGTACGATGAAACAGTGTTGGTCGACAAGAAGATGAACAATGTCTTCATGTACGGAGATGGTGCTGGAAAGACCATCATCACCGGGAAGAAGAACTTCGCCTTCGACAAGATCACCACCTCCAAGACTGCTACTTTTACTGCCCTCGGGAGCGGGTTCGTCGCGCGTGGGATCACCATCCGCAACACCGCAGGCGCAGAAGGACATCAGGCAGTCGCTTACAGGAGCCAGTCTGATATGTCTGCCCTCTTCGACTGCTCCATCGAAGGTTACCAAGACACGCTGTACTACCACACTTACCGCCAGTTTTACCGTAATTGCGTCATCTCAGGCACCATCGACTTCATCTTTGGTAAGGGCACTGCCCTCATTCAGAACAGCGTCATCATCGCAAGGAAGCCACTGGCGAACCAGTTCAACACCATCACCGCAGATGGGAAAGAGCTGGCAAAGGCCAAGGGAGGATTGGTGCTCCAGAACTGCAGGATCGTTGCGGAGGCTGCACTCTTCCCGGCTCGATTCCAATTGAAGACCTATCTCGGAAGGCCATGGAAGGCATACTCAACAACAGTGGTCATGGAGAGTGAAGTGGGCGATGTCGTGAGCCCAGACGGATGGAAGCTTTGGGACGGGGAGAAGTTTGAGAACACATGCATCTACAAGGAGCATGGTAACTTCGGACCAGGGGCAGACACCAGGAGGAGGAACAGAGCCTTCAAGAAGTGGCAGGTGATTGATCGCAAGACTGCCGGCCAATTCACTGCTGGACCATGGCTCGATGGACACACCTGGTTGCACACCACCGGCGTGCCTTTTGCCCTCAGTTTCACTAGATGATCAATGACCATTGGGAATTAGGGAAATGAAAAGTAATGAATTGATTCATAATTAAAAGAAAAAAACGAGTAAAGTAACTCATTATGTATTCATGTATGTATTAATTGGTGCACGTAAAAATATTAATTGCTTACTGATTAAAGAAAATTTTTTGATTTATTTTAGTTACCATTATAATAAAATCCAGACAACCAACAAGTATCCGAAGGATAACTTTGCAGCAAAATTGTTTTGAATGGTGAAATCGATGACACCAATAATACAGATTTTTACGCATTTTAAACAAAGAAAATTGTTCTAAATATGAGTAAGGCATTGTTGATTTCTTTAATAAGGACTTTAGGAGTACCTTTACATTATTCCATTTCTAGGAGTACACCCCCCCTGAGAAGCTTTAACCATAAAGCAGAGCTTATGAGTTATGATTAGGGTACAGTTCAGCGATACCTAGTTAAAAATACAGTTACTCAAACTACACCTGATGAGTGTACAATTACTTCGCGCTGATCATAGACCCGAACTAAAGAAAGCTAAAAAAGGAGTAGAAAGTTATTGAGATTGTTATAAAGGTACACAATATGGCTATTACATAAAATCTATACTTTTAAAATAAAATAATCCAAACGTGTGTTCATATTTATGAAACATTGATTCCCACAAAAGATGCTCAGAGCAATTATCCAACTCTTTAACATTTTCACAAAAATGATGCGCAACCTAACACTGTAAAAGTTTCACCATTATTTTTGGATACTCACTAGAGTAGACCATAATTTAGCATTTCATATCTTCATAAAAATCGAATAAACTCTGAAATTTGATAGGCGGTGGAAACAAAAAATGAAAATTGTGTGATTGAAGTGTGGATTGAAGAAAGAAAAATAATATGAACCACAATTATATTACTTTAAAGGGGGAAATAGTAAAAAAATGATACGATCAAATAAAAGGTTGTCAAAATTTAGTGCGAGGGGAATTTTAGTCAAGAAAAATAAAAAACATTGAACAACTGTTTAATTTTTCATCATTGTAAAACTAAAAGCCAATTTTTAAACAATCCTTAATAATTCTAAACAAGTCTGAAAGATATCAAGTAAGATATTTTTTTTACCCCGGGGGGTCAGGGGGAGGGGGGCTAGGGGGAGCCTGAGATAAACATGGTTGAAACTCCCTCCATGGAGTTTTGAACCCAAAACCTCCTGTATGGGAGAGTGAGTCGGCGACCATCTGAACTGGACCGCTTCCTCATCAAGTACGATTATTAAAACCATACACATTTAAAGAGTTAGCAAATAACTTGATAAAGATGTGATACCCAAATTGAAAAAATATTCAAATATTATGGTAGCCAAGCTGAAATGCTGAATCAAGGAACACTTGAGTGTAGCAAAACTCGAATTGCACATAACCTATTAAGCGTAATGTATGATTTTCATTTATAATCTTAATCGTACTAGTTTCTTGAATAATGAAGATATTTTGCTTGTCATCATCCATCAAACAAGAAATATAGTGAAAAGGGTATGCCTTTTATGTTCTTTAATTTAATAAAAGAAAAGAATAACTTAATTTAATAAAGAATAAAATTTAAATGTAGTTTTCCCGCACATCACCAAATGCAATAACTTGGGGGAGGGGGTGCTTGTGGGCAAAGGTACTTAGCTACAACATGTATTATGTGAGGGAGGAACTGAATGATGCAACAGCATCAATTTCCTGCTGCAAAAGAAGAGCATCAATAAAACAGTCCAAACCCTCTCCTTGCATCACATCATCTATCGAATGACTGGTAATCCCAACTCTGTGATCAGTAACCCTTCCTTGGGGAAAGTTATACGTTCGGATGCGCTCTGATCTGTCCCCACTGCCAATCTGCTCATCAATTTTGTTTAAAAGAAGAAAAAAAACACAACAGGTAATACTAATCAATTGTTGTTTGCAACAGCATTCATCATCAAAGGTCACTTTACCTGCTCTGAGCGGAGTTTTGATCTTGTCGACTGAAGTCTACATCTTTCCAATTCAAAGAGCTTTGCACATAACACTTTAAGAGCTTTGGTTTTATTCTGGGAATCAGAAATTGATAAACAAACATGTTTTATTTTATAAAATAGGCAAACCATGAAAGCAATTCTAGCATAAACCGAAAAATAGAAAGTTGTAACTTGGAAAAACGGGAATTTTTATACGACCAATGGAGTACTTAATAAAGAATGTTGAAATCACAAACAATTATGTTCCCTTACCATATGTTGGGAGCGCTCATCCTGTATGGCAACAGTTAACCCCGAAGGAATGTGAGTCACCCTAACAGCACTGTTAGTGGTGTTTACATGCTGACCTCCTGCACCACCAGCTCTGTATGTGTCGATCTTCAGATCTTCATTTCTCAACTGAACATCAACCTGCAGAATTGTTGGGATATTAGGTACTTGATAGTTGAAGTCCGTCCCTCATGAACTCCCATCAACCAGGTAACACCACATCTTTAATTGCCATAAACACAACAGTAAGAAAGTCTGATGTACTCAAAGACAAAAAATATAATGCACATCCACAGCAAGTAACTAATCCCAATTAGGATGAATATAGCTTGAGAATCACTGGTTAAGGTGCTGTTGTGTGACCAAGAGTCATGTTCAAGTCTTGTGAGCGGCCTCTTGTCAAAATTTGACAAGGGAAGGCTCGCCCCCTATACACCCTTGTGGTGGGAGCCTTCCCAGGACCCTCTCTTTCAGGGACGCCAATGTGCACCTGGTTGCCCTTTTTATAACTTTGGATGCAGTTTCAGTTGGACGCGGCTGGGCCACTGATCTCAATTCCCTTGCACTCAAACCCAATGGTTAGAAGGCAAGTAGAAAAGAGGCTACTAAGGTTTTAATGGTATTTTTTAAATATTTCACATCAAGGTTTTGATACCATTTCAGTAATACAACTCTCATTGATATGAAACTTACAACTTACCATCCTTCATAATTTCTAAATACTAATACACCACTTCATAGGAAAGTAATGAGTCCCACTTGGGGTTTCAGTTACAACTTTAAAATGGCCAATACCTCACCATTTGACAATTGATCCATCAGTGTTGGGAAATAAGAGTCACTAACCTATGCTACCAAGCAAAAAAAATCAACCAGGCCAACTAAAAAATAAAAGATCCAGACCTGATCCGCCTGAGGGAGTATTGCAACAGACACAGCACTAGTGTGGACACGGCCAGATTTCTCTGTAGTAGGAACTCTCTGCAAAAGGTGCAATCTTATGCAAATAGTCTACAGGAAAGATTATTCCATAAATGGATTTGACATCAGAAGTACCTGAACTCTGTGAACACCACTCTCAAATTTTAGTTTTCCATACACACTGGGTCCAGATACAGCTGCACTGGCTTCCTGTGAAGAAATATTTAGCATCAGCTTTCTGATATGTTAATCATGCAAGGAAAACTCTTTTTTCATTAGCCATTAATTAAAGATTGAAGCAACCTGTCTTAACCTAAACAGGTTAAACATATTATTAGTCCTTCTCAACAGTGTTTGGTTCTTGATGTACCTTGTATCCTTTGAGATCAGATTCAGCCACACCTAGAATCTCAAACTTCCAACCTTTCACCATTGAGTACCTTTCATACCTGATGCATTTTCATTAAGGACAGAAACATAAATTATAAGACAAAGAGGGACCTAAAGCAAAATTATTTTTGTGCAGTAACCCACATTTTGAATACGTCCATCGCAAACAAAGAAGCCTCTTCGCCTCCAGTTCCTGTCACAGTTTTCTTACGTCACTACTTACTGAGATAAAATCACATCCAAAGAGCAACAAGACATGAAGAAACAAAAATAGAAGAAAAGATTAGTTAGTCACAATCACCTGCTCTCACTTCTAGAATGCAGTTTCTTTCATCAGCATCATCTTTTGGTAGTAGTGATTTCAGTAGAAGATGTTGCAGCCTTTTCTCACCTTCAGTGGCCTGACTCAATTCTTCAGAAGCCATTTTCTGCATCTCTTTGTCATCGCAACATTCAGAAATTACTAGTTCCAGTTCCCGTTTTTCCTAGAAGAGGAAAACTATCATAAAAAAGTCTGAGAGAATACAATAGGGGTAAAATTCAATTGAAAGAAATACCAATTTAGACAAAAAATCACAAGGACAGTAATTAATATAACTGACTCCCTCATACAAAGAGGAAGTTATGTGCACCACTTCATTCAGAAGAGAGGCGAGTAACAACTCCATATAGTCATCCCTCCATTAGTCTATTGTGTGCTCAGTGTGGCATCTCCAATGGAAACAATTCCGTTTCTTTAAAAATATCGAACTATGTTAACCATTTTTCCGTCATAGTTAACAAAAAGAAGTTAATGTGGCCTTTTCACAGAATAATATGCAAATGAAAATATGTTTCAAAAGAAGCCTAGCAAAGGATTTTAAGAACAGTGTGGGACTGGGTGTATTGAGCTTGGGTCCAAACCTCAAAGTCACCCTCTAGTACGAATAAGTCCCATATGAAATCCATCAGGAAATTATGTACCAAGGTAATTTACAAAAAAGAACCCCATCAAAGATAAAAAATGGAGCATAAATGTATGGATACATGTTTGCCAACTCATTTGAATTACATTAATGGCATGAAAACAAAGAATTGAGGTTTACGGAATAGCTCTGGGGGGTTTCCATGCTTCTTAACTAGAAATATGAGTTCACGCAAACTAAGAAAGGCGGATGCAAAAGAAGTACCTTCTGTACAGCCCTGAGTTCAGTTATAAGCTGCATTACATCCCTGAGTTTCCTAAGCTCTTTATTGGCTGTCGAATATTCAGGAGGAGACAATTCCGGCTGTCTTTAATCAACCCAGGTATTGCAGAATTTCACATCCAAGAAAAGAAATTGTAAAACAAAAAAAGGCACGCTTACAAACAGCTCGGTCAAAATAGTAGGAGTAACTCCGAAGAAATGAATCAAAACGTATGATAACCTGGTCTAGGACTCGCTGAAGATAAGACGTCCTGTTTTCAATGGAAGAAAGCCGCTGCTCCATAATTTTGATTAGGTCAAGTGATAACTGCGGCCGCAACTCTGTCATTTCGGTTGGGGATAAT